CTAGCGATGATACGATACCAATTGTTGGCATTCAAAAAGGGACACGAGATGTTGAGAACCCTCCATGTTCGCAGGTGCAGGAGAAGGTCAAAGAGCTCGCTTGCGCCTTAGGAATCCTACATCTCTAAGATTTGCACATCTGTGTGGATGGGAACGGCCTTCGTTTTTGCCTGAGGCTGACACGCATGAGCAGCTGAACAAGAAGTTCATTGAACTGGCAAAGGAAAGAGAGGCCCCCCACCAGTCTTTGCAACATGCGAGTTAGAAGCAGTGTGCTCAGAAGTGGACTCTGTTTTGTCCATCCAGATCCAACAAGCCGGAGTTCTTGGCCACAGATGATGTCTTGGTTCGTTTTGTGTAGAGCAGCGTCCTGCAGCCGTTTGGCACCCTGGCTTTGCCTGACCTGTTCTCTCCGAAGATCTCCGAAGCATTCAAAGATGACGGTCGTGGATGTGAGCCCGATGTCTCGAAAGAACGTGCCATCCCTGGTGAAAGACAAATAGGGCAGCAGTCTTGCTGCGCATACTGCGCGATGTACACCCAACACTGGTGTGTTGCCGAGGCTGTTGCAGAGGACGTGGACAAATCGACAACATCTGCGACAGATTCTGAAGGTGCAAGACTCAGGCACTCTCAGATTGAACGCTGCGGTGTGCTTGCTTGATGGAGGTGCGTGCTGTCCACATAGCTTCCACGTGCGCAACACGTTTATTGAGTTCTGTGAGGATGAGAGCGATGAGGCTTTTCCTGTTACGACTAGCGTGGGCTAGGAGAGGGCAGAGGGCAGGGAAAGCGCGGGGTGCATTTGTCGAGGTGGGCTCCGCTCGCAATCGCTCCTCTTCAGCCCCAGCTAGGAACAGATGCTCTGAGCACGAAAGCGATGATGTCCTTGAGGCTCAGCAGAAGCTTGAGGACTCGGAGTAGATGCTTTTACTTCAAGTCTCTTGCGACACTGCGACACTGCTTTGCGAACAGTTTCTGACAGATGGCAGGATGCTCTCAAGGATGCGAAGGAGTTAAGGCAGCTCATCGCAGAGGCTGATGCCGAAAAAGACATGCTGCGAGAGCAGCTGCAGACCATGCAGCTTGGGAAGCACGGGCTCCTCGACGACTGAAAGCTCTTCAGCAGTCTGGCGAACATGCTGGTACAGCATACATGATATGCGCGATTTGAGGCCAACTGCGCTCTATGTGCCTGAGGGCATTGATGAGTTGGCGAGTGTAGCTGCAGAGCTGACGCAGAAGTTGGATGCAGCCTGGACCCTGGTAGAAGTATGTAGAAATCCTTGTTGTCATGCTGACTTTGTTTTCGTGCCGTGTGCAAGCTACATGTGCGCCAGGCCAGCATGGACCTCCAGCTGGCCCGCGACAAGTACAATGCTGTGAAAATGGGAATCGGGCTGAAGAAGGACTTTCAACTGGCAGTCGATGCAGCCGCAAGCTTGCAACGACAGTCTGCGCATTGTCATTTTGCTGCAGGAGTGTTTGCGCGAGGAGCGGGCCCAGCCATGCGTACTTTGCGATGTGCTTGCGATCACTGTGGCAAAGTGTTGTACTTGACTAGTAGCAACTGGGGCATTGTACAGAACACGAGTGGTATGGGAAGACAGGAGCTCAACTTCAAGGCCGAGGAGAAGGGACGACTGGAAGCAGAATGTGCTGATCTTCGGGAAAAATTCGAGATCTTGCAGCAAAGCTGGTCCGAGTTTGGGCTTCAAGCCGAGGACGGGCATGTTGACCGCTGCCAGAAGCCGGAGAAGACCAGCGTTACAGGGAAAGAAGAGATGGGGAAGGAAAAGGCCAACAACTCCATGGTTGCCAAGCAAGCGACGACACGTATCCCAGGACTTGACATCAAGGCCGGGACCAGCAGACACGGCATCAGGAAAAGCAGGCGAAGTAAGATTTCAGATTCCATGGGACAAGCTGGGATGACAGCAAGCGCAAGGGATCTGCAAGCCTGTCAGAAGGGGGAGGTCTGCTATGACGTGGATGGTGGCCTGGAATCTAGTCAGCTGCAGACAGATGAGATACCTGCAACCACTGCACCCAAGAACGTGCCAGCAGTATGGCAAGCAGATCCCGAAAGCAACGGCAAAGAAAATGTACCAACGGGGGCTCAATCCAGCCACTTGCGGGCAGGTGCAGGGAGTGCCAACCTGGCGCCTGAGAACTACACTGAACTGTTGCAGGCAGATCCTGAATGCAATGGTGAAGTCATCGCCCAGACTACAACAGTCTCCAGTCAGCTGCACGCAAGTGCAAACGGTGATGCCGCATCACCTGATTTCATGACTGAGATGTTCATTGCAGATCCCGTGTCCGAAGGTGAGGTGATGGCTCCAGCAAGATCAGGATCCAGTCAGTCGCAGGCAGAAGGAGTGGATTTCCACATGGAGCCTGAGAGCACAGGTGACATTGTGCCGGCAGAACTCGTGTGTGGAGCAGAAGAGAATCCATCTCAGATGGCACTGGGGCAGCTTGAAGTGGAGACGACTGAACTTGAGACTACTTGTGAGCCAGGCAACCGTAGTGAGGGGCTGGAGATGCATGGGGACACTCCAACTTTTGGTGAGGCCCCAGTTTCCGGAGAAGCTGATGGAGTGACTGTCTGGGACGAAGCACCCTCAAGCGAACCCACTTGCCAGGCACCACCACGACAGAGCAGTGCAGGACCGAAAAAGCATAAAGGCAAGGCGAGCAAGTCCAAGGCCTCGCTGCCGAAGCACGACGAGCACGATAAGCACGAGGTGGACCGTGCCAGCAGGGCCGGCGTTGTGCAGCCTTCTCAGGACAAGAAGAATGGCTCCAAGAAGTGCAAGTCCAAGTCAAAGTCACGAGATGCTAGTGATCCAGCCAAAGGGAGCACCCAGCACGATCAGAGCACTTCGCCTCACAAGGGTGAAGATCCACAGCCGGATGCCGCGCAGCAGAAGTCCAGAAGCTTTGCCGTCATCGCTTGGCTTGTGTTGGTTGTTATGGTGTTCCTTCTCGTCATATGCTCTCGACTAATTTGATTGAGCTAGGGGTATTTGGATTACAATTCACCTGCAAAGATGCCGTACATTAGCTAGATTTTAGTGGGGTCACTGCATGTGACCCTGCCTCAACTTGGCTAGATTTACTCGGGTTCGATCGTGGAAACAGCTCTCGAACGACCTGACTTAGCGTTGTATAGAGCCTGTAACAGCAGCTGCAGCACTTGAGGGCCTTTGCTACATGGCAGCGCGCTGACAGGCATATTTGGGATTTTTATCATGGCTATTTGACGGAGGTTGTCAGCAGTGAGTGAGATCCATGATTGTCATGGGAGCTAGGTGTTTTGTTTTTAGCCTTGGGAGCAAGTGCCTCGGCGTGATCTAGCGTCCTGCGATAGGCGAAGATGACCTCGTCAGTACATAGCCCGATAGCTCAGTCTTTATGCTCTTTCCTGTTTGTAAAAGGAGCGGCAGAGAATATAACATGCGCCTTGGAAATCTGCAACTGATCTACCATTCCACGCTTGCATACAAATCCCGTCATGCAACTCATTCCACAAACCTGGGGGAGAGCAAATTAATGCACGGCTAGCGCTGAAGTGTCCTGTGGGACCAGTCAAAGTTTACTTCTTGCCACTGCAAGCCTTGGTCTTGCGTGGCGGAAGAGTTGCCTTTTGAAGCACAGAGCTGCATTGCCTTGTCCGTGCTTGCAGGATAGCTAGAGAGAGGAGAGGCTATCTCCGACGATGACTTGCGCGGGTGAAATAACAGTTTGCGTGGCACTTGCGTCTTGTAACTGCGATGATCTTTGCAGCGTATTGGGTAAGAGGTCACCGACCAGCTGCGCTGGGAGAATGGTCAGATGACGGACGAAGCCTCAAGAACATGCAGCAAACGCAGTAGCTGGTGATACACGCCTGATTTCTGGCATCGAACTACATAAGGCGTCCATAAAGGAAATTGAAAGACAGTTTGTGTTTCTGGCTTGTTTGAAGATTTGAAGCAAGCAGTTGTCTCTGGGGGCATCATTGAGATCGTTCCCCCTCATGCCACCACGCAGCCAGTGCTGAGCTGTGCCAAGCAGCTTCAAAGCCAGGTGGCCATGCAAGCCGAACTGGCGAGCTCAAAAGCGGAAATCACTGCGGACCGAGTGCCCCAGTGTTCAGATGCCTGAGGCACTTGCCGTTTGTTTTGTGACCGCTATTTCCAACATTCCCCGACCATAGCAGCATGCTTTTGTGCCCAAAGCCAAGCTTATACTGGGCAAGCCTCATGCAGTTATTCCTGAGCCTGATTTGTCATTCATCCTAGACCTCATGGCTGAGAAGGCGTGGCTGAGACATCTCGGTCACAAACCTGTGTGTGAACACTGAGATGTTGCTAAGGTGAACTGGGAAAGGGATATTAATTCAAGTCCGTTTTGGCACTCGGTCCAAAGCCAAGATTGACGCGCAGGTACAACTCTCCCGTGTACAAGCACACAACTCCGAGCTTGAGGTGTAGCATGTTAGAGTTGTCCATGGGGTTCAACCCATACGGCTACGTCTGAAGCGAAGGTTTTTTCGGAACAGCTCCGTGTACGGAATCAAGAGCTGGAGGAGGAGCTTGCCTCTGCCTCAGCACCGCAGAAATGAGTAGAGCTGAAGGCCGTTTGAGTTGGCAGAATTGATTACAACTGAGAGCTGGGCAAACTGAGGCCCAGGTATCACAGGCATCCACGGAGGCCGCGCGGAGACTTCAAGCGCAGGAGAGCAAGGCCAGCAAACTTCAAAACATACTTTTGGCCATAGACTACGGCGCGCTACGGCTATTGGACTGAAGGAGGGCTGGAACATTTGTGTTCTGGCCTGTGCCTGCTGGAACTGTTGATTCATGAGTTACATTCTAGGCAAAAGAGACTAAATTGAAGCCGCGCCTGGACATGCCTGAGAAACCTATGTCCTTTTGACAATCGCACGTTAACAATGCACCGCCACGCCGGGATGCAGATGGAAGACTTGCGGAACCAGTCTGAGATGCAGCAGGCCAGGTCTGTTGTAGTGTAGGCAGCCTGCGTGATGCAGCGTGGCTTGCGCTTGTGACTCTGAGGAAGAGGTGAAACAAGCACGGCAGCAGTGTGAGAAGCTGACGCGAGAGGCATTCCAAAGCTCACGGCAGATCCGAACTAACAAACTTGGATTGGATGTAGGCCGCGGCTTGCCAAGCCTTGAAGCAACAGATGGCAGCACTGGAGCCCGCCCCCTAGATGTTCTGCAGCTGCAGTCTGGCTGTCTGCTTCTCAACAACTGACCAGGCAGGAGTTGGACGCCCAGCGCGAGCTGGCCAGAATCCCTGCTTTGGCAGTCTTGTGACACCTGGAATACGACCTGGACCATCTTCCCTGCAAAGTTGTACTAGCGATAAGTGATAAGGGGGGCAAGCTGGTACAGTTCCCTACGTTCCCCTCTGACATGTGTGCTGCAAGGCGGATGGGGTCAAGTTTTTTCAGTAGTGCATTGCTGCAGAAAGGCGCATTTTGGAGCGTGCAAGCCCATGTTGCGGTCAGGCATCTAGTCTTGCTCAGCCGTAGGCCATCCTGGCCGTGCCTAGTCCGAGTATACACGAGCGCAGCAAGTACGTCCTGGAATCATTACACTTGCAGGATGGCCAGATTGACCCCCTAGACAAGCATTACTGAAGTTGAGCACTGGCGGCATCATCTAGAGCAAGCATGTGGTAAACAACCTTGCCCAGAGAAGCATGCCTCACGATGGGCTGTCAACAGCCATGGCGGCATCTTTGCCTTGTCATTTGGTTGCGAGGCGTAGCAGGCGACGGCATGGCTGTCCTTGTTAACTTCAAGCCTGAATCATGCAGATACAGGAGAGCCACAAGAGGGGAGGGTTTGGGCTGAGGGACTGACACAAGCGCCTGGAATCCAGGCCAAAGCAGTTCTGCCGAAGGTCAAGGTGGGATGAGGGGTGCTGCTGCTTGCATTGTTGCTGCTAGTAACTTGTGCTACTTCGAAACTGTAGCGGCGGCAATTGGCTTTTTTCTCTCGTGGCAATTCTCTTGGCCTCAGGTCCGTTCCACATTGTGGCTCAGCAAGTTGTCCAAGAAGAATGCCATGGCATAGCTTCTGCTTCGTTGACACTTTGCGAACCACAGATGTCAGGGCTTGATGGTTGGTTGAAGCTTCGGAATTGGATTTCAACCCCTTGCTTGGTGCAGATGACTTGGATCATAGGCTGGAACCCAACAGTTGGTCACATTGATGCATGCATGCAGATCTACAAGCCTTCGCAGTGTCAGAAGGGGCCAGGAGGACCTGTCCCCAACCGTCAACTCAAAGATTCGGAGGAAAAAGGAGATGCACAACAACATGGAATGTGGGGGAAGCGTCATGTCTGTATGCATGTATATGTATGTGTATACATATGTATAGAAACATGTGTTTACACATGGGCTTAGAGTTTACTTGCTGGTTAATAGTAAGTTGATAGTAGGGAATGAAGTAATGGAAAAGACATGGGAAACTACAGTATGGGATTAGGATAGTTTTTTCATGGAGAAACTACAAACTACAGTAATCCCTACAAGGTTCGGTCCTTGAACAACCGACTACCCAGAAGAAATGCAAAGGAGCTTTTGGAGCCAGCTACAGTCGCACTTCTTTGAGGCACAGTCCGCGACCCAGTCACCGCCCGACTGCGAAGTTACATGAGTAAGGTCACAGGTGGGAGATGTACGGATATGCAAGTGGCTTTTGCAAGACTACCTAACACGAGAGTAACGGTGGTTCAGGCTGCATGCCATCAAAGTACTCTTGCCGAAAAATGATGTATGTGTATGTAGATGCAAATCCGATGCCCGATGCGCAGACGTCCCTGCCAACTTTTAGTCTACACGTTTGGCTTGTTGTAAACAGGATCCTTTGAAGTAGCCCCGTATGCAAGGTTGCTGGTAGAATGAACATGGCCAAGAAGATGCTAGGTGGTATGCGAGAGAGTATTTCAGCGTTTCATTAAATGTTGGATCTCAGCCGCGGAAGCAAGTTTTCCGCTCGTGTTGCCTGCGTCTGGCGATTGCACAGGCCCAGATGCAACGATAACATGTTCAGTTGTGGGAACAAGGTCGGGAACAACGCAAAGTTGTAACAAGCTATACTTTCATTTGTTTTTAGATCCTGTTTGCCTTACATGCTTCGAGCCAAGTATAGGAGTCGCCAAGAAGATCTCACTGCAACCTTGCTTGTACCTAAGAACCGGGTTTGGCACAGGCAAGACGCAAGCAGTGACGCAGGACGTCTGGTGGCCAGTCTATTCTTAAGAGTCTCTTTCACTTTCTCTGACTATCGTTTAAGACTATTCCCATTCTTACTCTCTGGTCATCTCTGGTCTGTACTTCATCCTTAGAGTTGTTTAAGGGAACTTGGGCTTTCAGCACGGGCTTCAAGACGAAGTCCGTGCGAGAGACATGTCGGTGCAAGCTCTCATGGCTCTGCACCCCTGCAAAGAGGCTCAGGTTTTTGAGGCCTCCACGAGCAAGATAATGGGACCAGACCTACGTACCGTGGGAAAGTGTGGATCTGCTGGTGCCCGGATGGCATGCTTCCGAGCCTCTAAGTCCCCGGCGCGTGCCACAGCCCTGTCACAGCCCGGGGGTCAACGGAAAGTTGATTGCGGTGGGGGGCCATGATGGGGCCATGGACTCCCCAGCTGGAACGTTGGCATGTGTCATGGGCGCGCAAACTGGCAGGCACATGCAGGCATGCCGCTATCTTCGGTAATGCTTTTCCCAGTGCTGGTATCATGTCCATGGGCCCAGGTCAGCATTTTACAGCCCGAGCGCTGGGAGCAAGTTTGTGGCTCTCATGGCTGGCCTCGAGGGCTTGGACATGCTGATGAGGAATCTGGAAGCTGGGAGCAAGTGAGGGAGGGTGGGAAGGGTGCAGGGCCAGGGTAGAAAGGTAGGGTAGGAAAGCTATGAAATTCGAATAAATTTAATGCAATTCCGCTTTAGGTTTCGCATGGGACACAATGCCGCAATATGCCAGATAATTTAAATAGTCGCTGAAAACTTGGAAGCTTAGGAAAGTGCCTACACCTGCCCGGTGCAAGCGGCGAAGCATTTCAAGCTGGTGGCTGAAATTGTTGCTTGACCTGCAGAATGGGGATTTGTGGAAGCTTGCAGACAGCCCACTAGTCACTAGTCGTACAATCGGGAAATTTCCCTCATGCTTTGGACACAGCATTGAAGTGATACCAAGCTACAGATGCAGAAGCCAGCGACGTTGATGACGAAGAAGATGATAATGACAACAAATCCTGTGGTTTGCATGCTCAGGCTTTGGCCAGTGGCCAGCTTAGTCGAGCTCGCCGCCTGATGCAACTGGGAAATATTTTCAAGATCCAGGCGCCTGGGACCAAGTCATTGGTGGCCTCCTGGGGACAAAAGTTTAAACCCTAAACCCGTGACCTTGCAATGTTGTATGGCCATGCAAGTGGCAAACACCCGTGCCCAACCCCTCAGACGTAAAAGTCCGTGGGGTTCAAACTAAACCCAGTCCACCAAAGCAGGCCATGGCTCGCTGGTACAATGCACTGCCTGAAGGTGAAGGTGGCCGTGGCAAGCGGTTTGAGCCTAGACTTCAGGCGCCTTGTCTAAACAACCGCAGCCCTCCCCGCAGGATCACTGTGTCCTGTGTTGTTTTGTGATGAGAGCAGGCGCGACCGTTTGATCACCAGGTGGAGTATACGCTTGCAGTGACTCAACTCCATGCCGGGCTGCAAACTCCGCTGCGTAACGTTGACGCGCGGCTGCACAGACCATCACAAGAGGGGATCTTCTTATAGATCTGAGCTGAGTGGCTGGTATCAGATGAGGCGAGATTTCCTGCGAGCAGCCCCAGGCCGCGCATTGAAATCCATTCAATCTGCAATTACCGTTGCCTGTCGGCATCATGCTGGGCCTCAGTTATGTGTGCCAAGTGGATCCAAATGAATTGCCAACCCTCAGGGCCGGATCCAACGTCGCAGACTGGTGAGACGTGCCACCTGCTTCAGCTCTCCGTGCCAAATCACAGAGCTTACGCAGAGCCTTTGGCAGAATAAGTTTTCTTGGATCCTGCAGGCACAAATTTCCTGCCAAGGAACGACATGATTACAAGTATGTTCTCCATGAAGAGTTGCCGCTCCCGGATCGTGAAGCTCATTACAGCAAAATGCTGGTCATCCATCAGGCCTGCTCTGCGCTGTCATCCTAATTCTTGTAGTCATAATCACACAGCACTAACTGTAAGCAGCACATTGCTAACAATCAGGATGGGTAGGTGCCCAATGTGATATGGACCTGAACTGGCGAGTGCATGTCGGTAGTGCTTGAGCAGATTCCACAGATGGATAAGGATGCTTCCAGTTGATCTTTAGAAAGCCTCACAGCCTCGACGAAGCAGTGGAAGGCGTTCCTGTCAGCAAGTCCACCCGACTGGGTTTTCTTCATTGATTGCGATGCCTTCTTCACGGATGCAAGCACGAGTCTGGCCGACATCCTGCAAACGTATGGGGCCAGCGGCTCCACCGGCCCTCACTTTCTGGTTGCGGAAGACCCGGGTGGCATCAACACGGGGACTGGGCTGGGCTGAAAGAGAGCATGTGCCCCAACCTTGCAGCAAGCAGCAAAGTGTAGACAGAATATTTTGAAGTCAATGAGTGGAAGCCCTGTCTTACGTGTGCATGTCTTGCCAGCTTGGGGCGACAAAGTTGTACATGGTCTTCACTGCAGATCCTGCGGATTTAATAATCTCTGCCATGATGCATTTCAGCTTGCATAGGCCCATTGAACTTTCAGTTTCAAAAAACAGCTGTCGCCTGCAAGGACTCTTCTGTTCCGCAGGAGCGAGTGGTCTGTGTCATTCCTGGAGCAGGTTGCAAGCAGTCAGTTTGCCGTGGCTTGGGATCAGTCGATGTTCTTCTGGGAGATACTGAAACACGGGCTGCTGGGTGTTGCGGATCAGCCGGAGCGGTTGCAAGCAGACTATGCCTGGCCGGCAGAAGTCATGTTGGTCCACCAGGCCAGCTGAGCTCTCTGAACTTGCTTTGAAGCCATCCCGTGCGGCAACTCAAGGGTGGTGTTCCCTCTTAAGATGTCAGGAGCCGCCTTCTGTCAGTGGGTTGAAGCTTTGAAGATGCAGCTTTTTTGGCAACTACTGCACGTGACCAGCAGGCTCACATGAACGCCTTCGTCCCGCCAGCATCTCGCGACTGGTCCGCGCATGAGTGGATAGAGGGCGACTTCATACGGCACTTTGCTGGATGCCCTTGGCAGGACACCAGTGCCAAATGTGCCAAATCCAGGTTTTCCTGACCTGGCAGTTGATGTAGCCAGTGCATCCAGTGCCCAGCGACAGGAGCCGCACTGCCTCGGGCTCATGCGCGAGACAGCGAAGTATGCCGAGCAGCGCTTGAAATCATAAAAGTAAAGAGGAGGGCACCCAGTTCTTTCCAGAACCCTGAAGGATGCTGCATTTGAGTGGGCCGCACAGCCATTTCCTGAAGTCTCCTTGCGGGTTGCTTTCGCCTTTCGGCTCAAGACTCACGGAGGGGATGACGCAGCCAGTGTGAAGGTGGGAACGCGCATGCCGAAGCAACTGCGTACCAGTCTTCGAGAAGGGCGGCATGTGGCGGTGCAAGCCTTGTTCCTCCTTACCTTTGAGATGATGTTGCTGCACCCGCAAAAAGCCAAACGCACCGCAGGGAGCTGAGATTAGCCTTGCAGCTAAGGCTGTGCCACGTGTTTGGCATGGAGACACCCCAAATCATCACGTCAGCACCAGAAGAAGCTCCAGCAGCCATGCCCCTCGAACGGCTCTAGTAGCAGAATAGCTCCTTAATACTTTCACTGCCTTGGGCTCCTACAAGTTATTGTGGCGAGTCCTTGCCGAACAGCAGGAAGCCTGAGCAAGATGGGTCTCTCCAAGACGTCACCTACCTGAATCGGCATATATTTGCAGGCAATGCTCTGCAGCGCTCCCAGTTGTCCGTTGGGTGAAGGGCATGGGGTTGCAAGTTGCAATTGTCAGACTTGATTGTCACAGTTGCCAGGCAGACGATGGGAGGAGGCGTGGAGTAGCCTGGCTTTGCTGCTTAGGTTTTTTCATGTGAAGGTCAGGCGCAAGCAGTGCTAGCTCAAACAACCTGAAAACAAGGCAGTGGGTGGTGTCGTTTTGCCCAAGATGGTGGCAGCCATGCCAGACTCTGCAGACATTCTTCCTGGAAGCCGCAAACCGTTGGCAAGGTGAGCCTCTTGTTGCGCAGCTCAGTGGTGGTGATATTCATCCAAATCACGGTTCGGGTAAGCATCATCGCGATTGACCTGAGGTTGGTCATTAGTGTTCCTTTTGTTATTGGCTGTTCTAAGTTGTAATTGTGACCTTGATCTATTTGCTTCTCATCTATTCTTGTGCTCTTTTTTGGCTGCTTAGTTAATAGTTAATATGGTAGACCTGTGTTTCATAATCTTCATTGCTGGTCCTGATAGGCTGCTACATCAACACTTCTCAAAGAAGGGGCATTACTCCCTGGGTATCCATCCATGAGTCCAGGATAACTACTTCGAGGGACGCTTGAGCATCTTCTTCCACTTTTGATTGTTCCAATCTATATGCAGTCCGTATAGGGCAGCTTTGAACTCCAAATGCTAAGCTTATGCTGCCCAATCCCAAGCCCTGAGCCATTGGATTCTTCTCTGGGCATCCGTAGCAAGAGCCAAGGCTAAACACTGACCCTTCGCTGGTAAGAGTGCGCTTTGCGCAGGCCTGAGCAAGCATAGATTATGGAAGATTTGTTGGATTTCCTCTGACAGCAGGGTGGCAGCAGGGCCGGGGGAGGTAGCACAGGTAGCTGAAGGTGTTTAATTTTGCGTTTTTGTGACTTGTTTTGGGGGTGGGGGGCAATCGAAGGGGCCTTAGCAATGTGCTTTTGATTTTGTAAAGGTTCCAGACACGTCTGGGCCGTGGCGAGTTATTGGTCCTGTGCATTTGAGCGGGACACGACTCTTGGCCAGGTTGACTGTGCAGTGGACAAAGTTCTTTGCAACGAGCAACGCGTTACCACCTACCCGATGGCCTGTAGCTCAGACCGAGACTACTAGAGCTGCAGAAGGTTCAGCTTAAGTTGCGTGGCACTGCACAGTTGCGGTAGCTATCTTTGCTTACATGCGTCTGACTGCCGCAGATGGTGGCCATCTACCGGAATGGCATGCAAGTTCATCTGGCAAGTATTGCAACCAACAAGATGGCGAAGCTTGCTTGAATATGATTGCGGCGGGTGTGGAGTGGCGGATTTTATCAGCCCCTGTTGGCCCCCAAAAATCTGCGGCACGGTGATCCTGCCAGCTTTCAGTCAAGACTTTCAAGAAGGCCACATGGCAGTTTTGCCAAAAGGGAGGTACCCCAGTATGGACACCAAAATGCTACATGGACACCCAAAGAGGTACGACTAAATTCGGTAAACCCTAATTCCTTATAAGCTGAGTTTCCATTTCATTTTCCATTTTCTTTTCCTTTTGATTCTCTACTACTCCTGTTGACCCCCCAACATGCCACCCCTATTTTTGAGAGACCCCCAAATCCTTTTCAGGACTGAGCTTACGCAGTTTCTGGACACCAATCTTCCGGCGCCAGATGCCGCTGGCAGCGAAGATGCCCCTTCGCGAAATACAGCCTAGCCAGACTAGGAAGCCCTGAGATACCCTCTGCACGATTCATGCACCTGAGTATTGTAAGTGCTTTTGCAAGGTACAGGACAGGTTTCACTTGAAGCCGCGGGACCGAGCTCTGCCCAAGCCTTGGCTGCTGGGCATGCTGCAAGCGTGCCACTAAGCAGCAAAGGGTTGACATTTTGGGTTCAAGCCTAGGAAGCTTGTGAACAGTCTTCCAGGAAGCTTCGGTTATAGCTTGGCCATCTTCCAAAGAAATTCTTTGTCCAGCTGGGCCTCCTGCCAAGGCACCCAAAGCTGGTACGATGTCTTGCTGACGATCGTTGTATTGCTGGTGAGCCTATGGCTCCTTTTCCAAACATTCTGCTTGCAGGGACAGATGTTGAGGCTTGTGCAGACAGAGTGCATGGTACAGTAGCTGTAACCTGGCTGGTCAGGTTCTTGTGCGCCACTCCTAGCGATGATTCTGCCGGGGCCGCCTCATCAAGGATGCTGGGAGATGCCTTCGGCTTTGAACTTTCTGTTTTGGATGCCTGTTGACATGGTGTGCTACTGTGCTAGAGCTGGCGCATTGTACTGTACCCTGCAGGATTGCAGGACGTTCTTCCTTTGCCTTCTCGTCCTGTGATTTGCCGGCTGTAGTCGAGATCTGACACGAAGAACTTCGTGAGCCTTGTTTCAACCCTGCCCGTTTCCATGTAGTGTGCTGACCAGGGGCGACCAGCGTCAGCAGGGGCAGGGGGGGTAGGATGCTTCGTTTGAGGATTTAGTATGCCTCTTGACTTTACCAGCCTTCCCGTGCTGTTTAGTAGAGGCTTTGCGCAGGAACAAAACGTGTGGCAGGCTTTTCCGCCCAGCGGTGGCAGTTCATTCCCTAATTAGAGTTATCGGTTTGTCTGAGGCCATAGCTCGGGAGACTGAGCTTGAGCGTGAAAAGACGCAGAGGGAGCTCTTCGAGGCATTTGAAAAGCATGTTTCTGATCCATGTAATTCCAGCTCTGTAGCGTCCGCCTGCCTTTTGCGCGAGGCGGTCGAAGTGCAAAAGGTTGCTCTACAGACTGAAGTTGCAGACCTTCGCCAGACGCCAAGTTGAGATCTTTATGAGATGAGGCATGCGCAGTCCAGCTATGTTTGGAAGTTTGCAGAAGCATGGGGGTGATGTGATGAGGGGTGGCATGATGTGGCATGCAGCTGAAGATGCTTGACCGGCTTTTCCGCAAGCCGTTCGTGCCCAAAGCTGGTGGCCGTATCGGCAAAGCTGAGTTCGTAGCATCTGGTGCCCATCCGTTACGGCAGATGGGCAATCTTTGCTGCCCTGCCTCCGGGCCAGCGCCGGTCATCGTGCACATTTACGTCGCGGCCCGAAATTGGTTCCTGGTTGCCTGTTGCGTGTGTGTTGTTCCTCATCATGTGCTTGCCTGAGGATGTCACTGGCACAGCGCCTGTGCAGGTTGTTAATGAGGCCATTGACATTGACATATGTTGAAATCATTTCTTCGCAAGCCTTTATTTTTGCCTGGCTGCAGGTCTTGCGCCCACTGGGCACTGGTGCATTCCACGCTGCTGTGGAAGTTCATGGAAGGTTCGGTGCCCAGAAGAACTCTGTACACACGATCGTAACAAAGCCTCCTTCCTCACAGTCACTTGCATCTCTCGGGACCTTGTGCTCAGTCTGGCAGGGAGTGGAGCTACGGGCAGACAGCGAGGGGCCCGGGTATCTTTGAAAATACGCCGAAGGAGTGTGAGCAGCACTCATACCGTGAGGCAGGGCAAGGGGCATGTCAGGGTGAGCTGGTGGACGGCCCTTCGATTGTTTCCTCAGGCAATTCACATGGGCTACACCGATCATGGGCCGTTTGAAGTTCAAATGCTTATCGCCGAAATGGCCAAACGCTGGCCTGGTCGAGACGCTTGCCCGTCTTTTGCCCGTCTTGTGTTGTTTCGTGGGCCAAAGGGCAGCCTTTTGATGGCAGAGACGGGTCAACCGAGGAATATGATGTGCTCAACAAGAATTGCTGCCACTTCAGTGACGAGTTGTGCCAAGTTCTCGGGGTTGGACAGCTGCCCTCATGGGTACCAACCTCGGTCTGCCCTAAAGTTGTGGTAAGCTGACGAGCTCATTGATGCCTGTGGTGGAGGTGACTAACTTGGCCGGCACAATGTCAAAAGTTGGTCCTGGGCTTCGTGAGTTGACCCTTGGCAGCCGGTTTCTTTGTGTCTCCCTCCATGTCAAAACCCAACACAAGCCAACAAGTAGAAAGACAACAACATTAGGAACTTGCTGGATCAAGATCTGTTGGGCGGGTTTTATGGTACCAAGACATCGCTCATCGCTCAGCAGTCTGCATCCAAGGAGGTCGAGAATATTCAACCCTTTCGGCATCAACTTCGAGCAGCAGGAGAAAAATAATTGACCCTGGTGTTCCTTGGCCGCGGCATAGTGCGCCGGCAACCAACTGATGACCCACCTTTGTGGAACAGCGCTCTATGGTCCTAGAGCATTTCCCCGACGTGGGTAAGCACTCACTTTTTGCCAAGGCTCATTGCTGGCAGGGCCCGGCATATTCGTCCATGAAGTCCTAGGTGGCTCGCACCCGGCGTCTTCCATGAACTTCAATTAGTCGTCTTCCCAAATCAGGGAAGCAGGGGGCACAAGATACCTCCTTCCGCAGTTGAGTGGAATTCCTCCTGATCATTGACTTCAGTTCATAAGTATGATGTCCAACACTCTAACAGAAAATGCCAACTTACAGGTTACAGGCTCTTGGGGGCCATATTATCCTTGTCCAAATCCTGAGGGTGCCGCGTCTCCCGAGCTTTGTCTCAAGGAGTATGGAAATCACAGTCACTCCTTGGAATTCACAGCACACAAGTTCGCTGCCTTTGTACATGGACTGCAATTTCTTCTTGTTTTCAATGAAAAAGATGCAACATGTGCAACCTGCAATGTGCCTGCTTGGCCAGGTTGGCTGTTTGCTTGCGAGGAGTTGGTGATTGGGTGTGCAGGTTCAGGTTCCTGCAGCCAAATGGCTAAAACCTTGAGGTTGCTGCTTCCGTTCACCGCGTGGACACATGATTGGAAGTGTGAGCGAACGTTTTATGTCCTCAGCCCACAGGAGGCAGAGGTCCATGCGCCGGAGCTGGCGCAATGCGCTCTTCTCCAGTATGCTGAAGCCTTGACACAAGGCTTGGCATCGAGCAGCTGTGCAAGTGACCTGGCTACCGCGTCGATCGTTGTTCTTCCAGGCTACACCTTCCACAATTGCCATTGGCCGAACTACGGAGGGAAGTGTGAAGAAGATGCACTTTTCCGGCCTGGCAGGGCATGCTACGATGAACAGACCATGGGGGCATATAGGACCATCATAGATGTTGCAGGCTTCGCTGGCAAAGCGGTGGCCATCATTGATGGTTCTGGTAGCGTACAGAAGGCCTGGCTACCTGACCTGAGCTTCTACAACCACCCTCGCTTGATCATCTTGCGTTTGGGTGCGGCTGTTTGGTTTCACAGACCAGGTATGGATGTCTCGCTGCCTCCTGGCCCTCTCTCAAGATGCGCAGGCTCTGACGCAACAAACGCCATGATGGAGTCGCTTGACGCCAAGCATTACTTGGCAACTTTCAAGGGCAAACTGCGCCATAGCCATGTGCGCACAGCTCTGGCAAAACTTCACCACAATGACGTCGACGTCATACTTGTGGATCGACTGGATGACAGCTATGACTACGATGAGCTATTGTACTCCACAGTGTTCAGCTTGATTCTGGAGGGCGATATGCTGCAAACTTTTCACTTTCCTGAAGCTGTTTGCTCTGGTGGCATCCCTGTGCTTATTTCTAGCAACTGGGTTCCACCTTTGCAAGAATTGGTGCCATTCGAGACCTATGGCCTCCGGTTCCGTGATGATGAGCTACCCGAGCTGATGGTCAGATTACGGGCTCTGGACACCTTCAGAAGAATCTGGGTTGAGGAAGTTATGCAAAGTTACCCTGATATGTATACATGGTCATGTAGTGTCCTCGTTTCTGGAAGCTAGTGTAACTTCCCCAATGGCTGCAAAGGAATGCAGCTGCGGCAGCAAGCCAGAGATGCGTGTGAGAAGCACTTCAGGTTGCTCGGTTTGCGTTTTCTCTTCTGTCCCCAACAGGAATGTATGTAACATAGCAAAGCAAATGCAGGTCAGAGAAGCCCACGCATGCAAGAAGATCGAAGTTCAAATGCAGTCAGGGCGAGCAAGCAGCAAGTAGTGATCCCCTGACGGAGAGCGTTCTCGACACTGTAGCAGAAGTCTGTTTTCGCATGCTGCTGCATTTCGAATGTTTGTTTGTGTCACACATGTGACGCAGACGTTGCATATCTTGCGGCATCCTGGCTGAACCTGCAAGGACCATGCAAGCTCAAGCGGGCTCAGTCGCGCAGCAGCTCTCTCTGGCGGGCCCTCGCCGTGTTCAAAATTTGGAAGCTTCACTTGCGGACGGCCTCAGGGTGCACAGGCGGCATCTAAGCACTTAAGTCTCTTGATTGATGTCCGACAGTCAGTTTTTATCGAGGTCTGTCGGTTTCCAAAGACCTCCATGCCTTACAGGTGGGCCGGTGTGTAACAGCTGCGGACACTTCTTCCTCGACATCCTTCTACGTCATCAGCATCACGGAGGTGGAAGCGTTTGCTCCCAAGCTGCGAGGATGCCTCTTGAGCAGCCTTGCAGGAAAGGTGCACGAGGCTTTTCTCAGCCTTCGGAGGAGATCTTTCACTTGCATGGCAAAGCAGCTCGCAGAGGCTCATGTCGTCGTGGTGCCTGGCTACTCTGTGGTTCCGGAAGTGATAGGCTATTGGGTCTCCTTCGCGGGCAGGGCCTGTGCAGCAAATGAAATCCTTGCAGGATATAGGCAGCTGCAATTGGATGCGCGGCTACAAGACAAAATGCTGGTGTTGCTGGATAAGGGAACCTCCCGGATATCGCAGGACACAGGCTTCAGCTGGCTCTTGCTTGGTGCCAGGCGGGATGCATTTCAGTATGGGGTTGACATCTCGATGCCAGCAGAACCATCCCCACGCTGTTCTGGAATTTCTGCATCGAGCTCATTCCAACAGCCTCTTGGACAGAAGCGATATCTGCTGAGTTTCAAGGGCAGTTTTCGGGATTACCCCCTTGCCGGTGAACTGGCAGTTCTGCATCGCGACAACTGGAGCGTTTTGGTGGTCGATGCCGCGCATACGGGATATGACACAGAGTACTTGCTCTGGAACTCGGTGTTCAATCTGGTATTCGCTTCTGCTGCTGCCCGTGATTCCCGGTTCAATGAAGTGGTCTGTTCAGGCGGTATCCCGGTTGCTGTGGCAGATTCTTCGTGGGTGCCACCCTTTGACGGTTTCATCCGTTTTCGCTCCTATGGCATTTTGGTGGATGACACGGATTTGTCAACGCTACTGCCTCGCTTGGGTGACGTTCTCCTAAACAGCGCAGAAGTGCGCCTCTTGCGCGAGCCTCTTGGTTGGCACGAGCATGCCAGGTAGGTCAGAGGCTGTGGCAGTTGTTCAGCTAAGCCTTTGACTCGCATGATCCCAGGAACGCACGGAAGGTGTGCACACGCTTCCTGCAGACTCAAGAGATCCAGGCTGCCGCTGCACTGGAGGCTTTTGAAACGCCTAACAGGGCTGAGGATGATAGCCTTGGCGTGGTGCTCACGCAGACTATTTGGGATCATGCGTCTTGCTTGGATGTTAGCAGAAATCCACAAGCCTCCCTGTGCTCGTCGTGCTCGTGGTGTTCTGAATAGCCAAGGAGCAGAACCAACTCTACGCTCTCTTTGAGAGTGGGGCTTTGTTCCGTGCTGTTGCCTCCAGGGCTAGAACTCTGCAACATCTATGGATGATGGTGTCAAATGGCCCCTTCGATCGCCGGCTGCACTTGCGTTCGCAGCCCCAAAGTTCGTGCTGTGTTAGCTTTTCAGTTCGATATTCAAGTATTCATTTCTAAGTGGACAGAGCATTGTCCTGCACTGATTGCGGGTTGAAGCTGTTCGGCGTGCCAGATCGGGATTGTCTCTGCTGAGCCCTCATGCCTGTCCTTCAAGCACTATCTCCCTCTGTCAGTCCCTTTGTCTGTCTCTGGTCGCCAGGGTTAGGGTTTCCGTCCGCCTCTTTCAGCCAGCAGATTGGCACATCCCTTGCAGTTGCAATTCTTTCTGTTTGCGCGGTTGCATCCGTACCTGCGAGTTCTCTTTGACACTCAGGACTACATGGCCGCCAGTCCAGATGCAGTGTATGCCATAGGCTCGGGCCACCGGGTCTACAAGCACTCAGGCCCGGGTTTGGCGAAGAGCTTTGTAGTTTCCGCAAATGCGCCGGAGTTGTGGTATGTTGTGGTGTGGAAGCTGGATGCGCAGATGCTGGCCGTAGCACAAAGCGTGATGCGCAGCTCAGCCCAGAGCAGCGCGCTGATCCTGCAGGACCGCTCCAGTCCGTGAGCGTTGGCGCCGATTGGGCTGTTGCGTCACGTGGGCAAGTGCAAGCACTTGCGATTCATGAAGAGGTCGCTTTGCCTGACTAGGAGTTTTCCAACGTCCAAGGTAAGCTCAGTTGATGAACCATGGGACTATGTTCGTGCCGTGCCAGGGCTTCCAGTAGGTACTCCTCACAACAAAATCCCTTTTCCCTTCCGGGTTGGAATCACAAGCTCTCCACTTCTCAGGCAGCAACTGCTGCCTTTCATTGGGACACTGTGTGTAGCTGTAGCAAATGGTAACTGGGGCCAGGAAGCACTTACAGTGACTGTTGTCGAGCAGTAGGGGCTTCTCCCGAGGCCATATATGCAGCAGGCCTTGATGGCAACGTCTATCAGCAGCAGTTGGCAGGCATGTCCATCTACACAGACTGGGAGCTTGTGCTTGAAGGCTCGCAGAACCACCAACGGTGGCCGCAAGGGATCATATGCAACATGCAGGGTTGGAAATCGGCTGGGCCCTGAACAGGCCAGAAGACCAAGCGTGTTGCAGTACGCGATGGTATTCTTTATGCAGCTACCCAGGCCTCTGCAGTTTACTCTCTGGAACCTTGGGCCAAAAAAGGGAGAATTGATTTATGATAGGTCTTCAAGCTTGGCTGCGTTTTGTGTCGCGAGTGCATCATAGGACTTGGCAAGACCATCGCGCGGTTGGGGGAAGGCTTCAGTGCAACATCTCCCTGGTGATGTCCGGCACCTGCTGTGAGCAATTGTTCATGTGACCAGCATGGGCTAGTACCCATCAGCTGGTTATTGAGTGTGCTCCGTGAACATGGCAAGAGTCCGAAGCCTCAGCAGGGGCCTTCCTTCTAGCACGGGAGTAGACCAAGAAGATCCAAGAACTACGGAGTTGGGAAGCTTCCTTGGCTTCGTGGAATCTGTCGGTGGAAGTGATGGCTTTTGTGCACATCAGCTTGGACTTGGACCTGGAGGCTGTTCAGACGCTGGACCATTGTCTAGTTGTGTTGCTTCACTGCGCCTCCAAGCCAGGAACCAAACACCGCAACCTGCGTTCTGAGATTACTGCTAGACGGATGCAAAACAGCCATGTTGTGCAGTTGCCACCCGGTGCTACAGCATGTGCCAGGGAGCTCTTCTTTGCTTCTTTCTTGGTTTGCATGAATAAAAGCTTTGGTTGAACATGTTCGCCATATGATGATGCCTTCGGACTGGCTTGTAATCGGTCCAAGCTTTGCAGGGCATCTTCGGGTGTTGTTGTTGTGTGAGCTCCAGAGATGGCTGCTGTTTGGGAGGACGGGCACCTGCTCTGCATGTCGCTGTGTTGCCAGTGGTAGGGACAGCGGAAAGACGCCAGTAGTACTTCAGCAGCGCAGCAGTAGTTGGTCCGGAGCAGCTGCAACGTCTGAAGCACAGCTCCTCTGAAGCCCCGCACGCAGGTTGTTGGTGGCGCTGAGCGCGGCGGGGTCCTTGTTCGAACTGGTCATGATCTGAGCTCAGATCTCGCTGACGGTCGACTTGCCACGGGATCTTTGGTGAAGGACCTTGTCCTCGTTTCACCACCCATGCTGTGCGTCCTCCCCACACAGTGAGAGACAAACAAGACCTGCTTCAGGAGACTGACGCGCGCGATGGACGGATTTGCTATGAGCTTGTGAAGGGAGATGGGCCTGCCTCGGGGTGGGTGACGCCCAATCTCCGTGGCAAGGAGCAGGGGGAAATAGAGGTTGCTGAGCGGTTGCCCCGTGGTTCGAATATGTTCGAATCTTCGCGCGGTTTTGTGCAAGGAGTTGCTGGTGAAGACAGGAGCCCAAGGAGAGAAGGCGGCAGAAGCAATCTCGGGTCAAATGTTCAAATATTTGCTATCTCAAGCAAAGCAAGGATATCCAAAAGTCAAAGCCTTTGCAGTTTCTAGCAAGGTCTAGGGGTAGGTGGACTTTGAGAGTTGATCCTGGAGGCTCCTCAGTCGCGACGCCGTGGTTTCTCGCAGTGGGCATCTACCCAGGCTGATGAGGAGCGTGTGCTTGCTTCATTCAAGTCAGCTTGTCGCAAGTGCAGCGGCAAGTTTGTCAGATCCATCTCGTGGTGTTTGCAGGAGGTTGCCCCAGAGCCGGCCATGCCGGAGTTGGTGCCGGCAGAGATGGCATCCGAGACTCTCGGGCTGCGGTTTCAGTAGCTCTGACAAGCTGGCAGCCTTTCTGCGTGTTACCGGACTCCAATTTCGGCTTTTGCTCTTGGGTCCTCTTCATTTGTGAGCAATGCCCAAACAATCGTTGTCTTATCTTTGAGGTAAGTGCAGGCGAGAGCTAGGTGCCTTTGATCTCAGCATACGCAGCAAGCTGCTGCGTCTGTGAGACAGACAAGCCTCACAAGAAAACATGACATCACAGAAAATGAGTAATATGTCATCAATAGGCAGCAGCAACAGCCTATCGGCACAGCCTGACAAAACAGATTGCAAACGAGACAATTCGCAGCTTAAACATCAATTGCGCAAGCCAGGAGTTCTGTTTCCACGGCAGCGTCTACAGCAGAAGAGATGGTGGCATCACTTCCTGAGAATGCAGCTGCAGTGTTGGGCTTACCCGCAATAGTGGTAGAAAAAGCATGAACCTTGGATGCTGCTTGTCGCCTGCACTTTTGCAGACCCAATGTTTCGCGCGTCAGTGCAGCACGAAGCTTCTCCATCACATGCTCAGGTGGCAGAGAAGTCCTTGTCTAAGGACGAGGAAGATGCATTCCGGATGTATACCGACAAGTTTGGCGAATGCAGAGATGGCTCCAATCCAGGTTGCTGAGCGAGGAATTAGTTGGAACTTGCTGGCAGCTTTAAATGTTTGATTGTCTCTTGCATGGGGCGTCCAAGTGTTGATGCTGCGTGCATATCAGAATGGGCTACAGTGGCAAGATTTCTGCTTGAAGGGACGTGCGCGACCTACTGCATAATAGCTGCCTCAATGGGTTTGACCAGGTTACAGCCGCAAGGCCTTCCCGTGGTTCAGCCCGAAGCCCACAGAGGACAAAAAGAAGAAGCTGTCCAAAGAGGCTTGGCACATGCTCATTTTTTGCCCTTCTACCTCAGCATCCAGGCGAACTCTTTGCATCCTGCTAGGCCCTGGAGGCCGCACTTGCCTGCAAGCCCAAAGAGAAGAAGCTGTCGAAGGACAAGCTGTGGGAGGTCGACTCAGAGGCTTCCACGGGAACTTTTGCATCCTGCAGATTCCTGTCAGATTACTTTTGCTCTGCATGCACTTGAAGCGTATGTGGTGTCTGGCACGTCCCAGGGCGAGGAGGTGCC